TAGATAGTCCAGGATCACATTGGTGAATTTGTAAATAGATGGTCCAGGATCAACATCAGTGAATTTATAAATAGATGGTCCAGGATCAACATAGGTGAATTTATAAATAGATGGTCCAGGATCAACATTTGAGAATTTATAAATAGATGGTCCAGGATCAACATTTGAGAATTTATAAATAGATGGTCCAGGATCAACATCAGTGAATTTATAAATAGATGGTCCAGGATCAACATCAGAGAATTTTAAATAGATGGTCCAGGATCAACATTTGAGAATTTATAAATAGATGGTCCAGGATCAACATCAGTGAATTTACAAATAGATGGTCCAGGATCAACATCAGAGAATTTTAAATAGATGGTCCAGGATCAACATAGGTGAATTTATAAATAGATGGTCCAGGATCAACATTGGTGAATTTATAAATAGATGGTCCAGGATCAACATTGGTGAATTTATAAATAGATGGTCCAGGATCAACATCAGTGAATTTATAAATAGATGGTCCAGGATCAACATCTGAGAATTTATAAATAGATGGTCCAGGATCACCATCAGTGAATTTATAAATAGATGGTCCAGGATCACCATCAGTGAATTTATAAATAGATGGTCCAGGATCAACATCTGAGAATTTGTAAATAGATGGTCCAGGATCAACATCAGTGAATTTATAAATAGATGGTCCAGGATCAACATCAGAGAATTTATAAATAGATGGTCCAGGATCAACATCTGAGAATTTACAAATAGATGGTCCAGGATCAACATCAGTGAATTTTTAAAATAGATGGTCCAGGATCAACATCGGTGAATTTATAAATAGATGGTCCAGGATCAACATCAGGGAATTTATAAATAAATGGTCCAGGATCAACATCAGTGAATTTATTAATAGATGGTCCAGGATCAACATCAGTGAATTTATAAATAGATGGTCCAGGATCAACATCAGTGAATTTATATATTTATGGTCCAGGATCAACATCAGTGAATTTATAAATAGATGGTCCAGGATCAACATCGGGGAATTTGTAAATAGATGGTCCAGGATCAACAACAGTGAATTTGTAATTAGATGGTCCAGGATCAACATCGGTGAATTTGTAAATAGATGGTCCAGGATCAACAATACTGAATGTATATATCAATGTTCCATGATCAACATTTGTGAGTTTATATATTGATGGTCCAGGATCAACATTACTGAACCTACACTGGTTTCACGGTTCGGTTCGGTTATGATTATCATGCCATCCCTTTGGTTCAATTCAATATCTCGGTGCATCACGGTGCATTGGCGATGTTTTCCATACACAATTTTATATTATACTTTACAGGCGCTGTTCACCAACAACTCATTCGCAGTTCCAAAACAAAACCTACAACTCATATTTGTTGTTGGATTATTTGTCAACCACATAACAACACTTTAGCAACACCTAGCAACAACTTATTTACAAATCCAAAACAGAACCTGGAACATGTTGGCAACCACATAGCAACTCCTTAGAAACTTAGTAACTGGACTGGTTATAAAGCAGGAAGTTTGCCGCACCATCAACTCAATTAAACTAAAATTTGGATGAGAATAAGGGGAGAACCAGTGTATGACTAAAACGTGTATGATCCTCGTTGGAAAAAGAGTTTGACAGCTTGACACTCAGTAGTCACTTGGATGCCTTGAATCAAATCACAGAAAGGTTTTCTCTGTTTGGGC